GCCTATTCCTACAGCTATTCAACCACTACCGGAGAAATATAGTTCTATTTTTGCTAAGCCTACAGGTCTTCCACCTACAAGAACCATGATCATGCTATCACCTTAAAGTCTAATTCTATGCCTGTTAATTAAGGCCTTACAGATTCCCTCATAACCAAAAAGCTGAAGTGGAAAAACAGATTGTTACTATGTTCTCCATGCCTTCTCATGAAAAAGAAGGATGGTACACGGAGGTTCTGTGTTAATTATAGACAGTTGAACAGTATGACAATTAAGGATAAATTTCCTATTCCTGTTGTTGAAGATTTATTGGATGAGCTACATGGGGCTGTCTATTTTCAAAGATTGATCTAAGGTCAGGTTACTGGCAGATCAGAATAAAAAGGAGAACATTTATAAACAACATTCAGAACTCATCAGGGCCATTATGAATTTAAGGTAATGCCCTTTGGTCTAACTAGTGCTCCTGCAACATTTCAGGCTTTGATGAATGAATTATTTAGTTCATTCCTTAGGAAGTTTGTTTTGGTGTTTTTTGATGACATATTAGTTTACATCAGCTCTGTGACAGACCATATTCTATATTTACAATTGGTTTTGGATATTTTGCAAAGTAATCAACTATTTGCAAAAATGTCTAAGTGTTTCTTTGGTCAGACCCAAGTAGAATACTTGGGACATATTATTTCAGCTGCTGGTGTTGCTACTGATCCTAATAAGGTAGAAGCAATGAGAAATTGGCCTTTGCCTAAATCCTTAAAATCATTGAGAGGATTTTTGGGATTGACAGGTTATTATAGAAGATTTATCAAAGATTATGGTACTATTAGTAAACCTTTGACTCAGATGCTAAAAAATGATTGTTTTAAGTGGAGCAGTGCATCTTTGATTGCTTTTGAAGAGCTTAAGAGAACTATGTGTCTTGCACCTGTTTTAGCTCTACCAGACTTTACTAAAAAAATTTATTTGGAAACTGATTCCAGCTCTGGAGGCATAGGGGTTGTTTTATCTCAAGAAGGCAGACCTATAGTATTTTTAAGTAAAGCTCTCAATCCTAGACATGTTGCTCTATCTATTTATGAGAGGGAATACCTTGTTATTTTATTAGCAGTCTCCAAGTGGAGACACTATTTGGAAAGCAAGCCTTTTATCATAAAAACTTATCATGAACCTCTAAAATACTTATTGGAGCAGAAACTAACTACTGCTATTCAGAAAATGGGACTGACAAAATTATTGGGATTGGATTATACTATCCAATACATGAAAGGTAAATCAAATGTTGTGGCAGATGCTTTATCCAGACAATGGGAAGATCAGGGTCAGTGTCTTGTCATGGGAACTACCCTAATCATTCCTACTTGGTTTTAGGATGTGGAGGAGAGTTACAAAGATGATTTATTGGCTACTGAGTGGATTTTCATTTTAACAGTGAATCCTACTGCTGATCCTAAGTGGAAATTTTCCAAAGGAGTTCTCAGATTTCAAGAAAGGGTTTATATTGGCACTAAGGGCTCTCTTAGATTACAGATTCTTCCAACCATACATGACTCAGCTCATGGAGGTCATTCAGGAGTTCAGGCCACTTATCAAAGAATTAGAAGTTATTTTTATTGGCCTAAACTTAAGGCTATGGTGGCTACTTATATAAGGGCCTGTACAGTATGTCAGCAAACTAAAGTGGAGCATGTTGCTAAACCTGGTCTATTTCAGCCATTACCTATTCCTCAACAGGCCTGGGAGGTAATCACTATGGATTTTATAGAGGGCCTACCTACTTCTTTGAAGAAGAATTGTATCTTGGTGGTGGTTGACAAGTTCACCAAGTACATTCATTTTTTGGCACAATCACATCCTTATACTACTACTGAAGTAGCTAAATTATATTTGGAAAATATTTATAAGCTTCATGGCCAGCCTAAAGTGGCCATTTCAGATAGGGATAAAACCTTCACTAGTCTCTTTTGGAGAGAGCTAATGAAGCAGTTGGGTACTAAGACTATATTCAGTACTGCTTATCACCCAGAGACTGATGGACAAACTGAAAGGGTGAATCAATGTCTTGAGAAATATCTAAGGGGTTTGTGTTTCTTCCAACCAAAGCAGTGGGTTAATTGGTTGTTCCATGCAGAGTGGTGGTATAATACCACCTATCATACAACCCTAAAACTAATACCATTTCAAGCCATATATGGCTACCCACCTGTTACAATGGTGTGGCAAACATATTCACCAGTGCAATCTGTCAGTGACCTAATGCATACTAGAGAGGATATTCGAAGGCTAGTCAAGTTACAATTAGAAAATGCAGCCAATAGAATGAAACATAAAGCTGATAAGAAAAGATCTGAGAGACCTTTTGCAGTGGGAGAAACAGTGTACCTGAAATTACAGCCCTATCGCCAAACATCTTTGGCTCTGCGAAAAAACCTAAAGTTAGTAGCTCGATATTATGTGCCTTACAAAATTACAGAAAAGATTGGTGATGTTGTTTACCGTTTGGATTTACCTGAGACATCCAAGTTACATCCGATTTTTCACGTGAGTCTTTTGAAGAAGCACATTGGAGAATCATCAATTTTTTCTACGAATCCTCCTGAAATGAATGAGGAAGGTCAAATTAAAATTGAGCATTCTCAAATCATAGGAAGAAGAATCGTAAACAGAAACCACAAACATGTTACTCAATTGTTGGTGCGATGGAAGAATCTGGACGAATCGTGTGATACTTGGGAGGACTATACTGTTCTTCGGGGATAGTTTCCCAACTTTGATCCTTGGGGACAAGGATCTGCTCCAGCGGCGGGTATTGTCATGATCGGGGGAGAAGGACGAGAGGAAGGAAGAGACGATCGGGGAAGTGAGGAATGAATTGGGGGAATGCATAACAAGGGTTAGGGATTGTTGAAGGATTGGGGATTATTACCTGAGGAATTAAAATACACGTGAGAAGCACGGGTTCATTAACCCATCAGACATTTGAAGACCCAGCAACAGAGAAGCCCAATGTTAATATGCAGTAACAGAAAACAGTTAGAATTTATTCCAGCTGGCTTATTAGATTCTATAGTATAATTGTATAAAAATAAATGTACCTTAAAGGCATGACTATGCATGCTTTTACTGAATGAATTCTGAATTTCTTCAATCTTTTCTGCTTCTCTTTTGAAATCTCCTTTTTCTCTACTTCATCATCTCGCATCCATCACAAATTATTGGTAATCAATGTACTTCATCTAAAGTCAAACAGAATTGAATCCTAGAAATCACACAACTAACAACACTTATATAAGGATCATTCTTTAAGTCTAAGCTCTCCAAGAACCACTTCAACTAAACCGGTCTACGTGGACTGAACTCAACACAAACGAAATCCTTTGCATGGGGAAAAACACTGTATTGCTGAAATGCAAGAGAAAGGACATTCTAGAGTTGGCAACAACTTACTTGGAACCACTGATATGGCTGAAATAAGAGGGCCGTACATCCCCCTTGCTGGGATGCCTGTAGTTCCCTTTCCACCCCAATATAAGTGGATTTTTAACGTATTTCTTGTTACGGCCGCCGTAAAGTTCTTTACAATGGGCTTACCGTTACCACCAGCTGCCTCTTCGATGTTAAAATCTTTCAGCTCCAGTTCACCCTACATTTACATCATGTAAGCACTCAAATTTGTTTTCTTTATATATATTACTTCATGTATGCTAAAGGATTTACTTACCTGGATAAAGACATCAAATATACGTTTCCCGATATCGTAATATGATCTGTCGTTCTTGAAAATAATTTCCGCAAAGTGTAAACTAACAGTGTAGTTCCCCTTCATTAGGCAGAGTCCGTAATATGTTAGACAGAGGAATGAAATACGATTTGTTGTGAAGAATTCTGCTCGGATTGCAGACACAATGGACAAAGCAGAAGTGTTGGTAACAAGATAGTCATCTGCATCAATATCATTATCAATGAAGTTCCCGGTGCTGCTGAATGCCCAGTTGTGCCCCAAGTAAAACATAGAAGCACCTCTCAGTTCTCTATCAGCTTCGTATTTGCCATCGCCACTGATGTTTAGTTCCTTCCCCCCACAATTAATGTGCAGAGAATATTTATCTGTTAATAACCAAAATTTCAATGAATTTTGAAAGATTTTCGAATAAAGTTAACAGAGATCTTTCATCTCCAAAAGTCGACTTACATTGACTGGGTGAAGCAGCACATGGGAAGGTCTGTTTTACACATGGAGGAACTCTACTTCTGCATCGAAAAACAATCAATAAGCACTTACATTTTGAAGAAAACTTAAATAATCCCAAACTTCCTAAACACCTCAATAGAATATCATAAATCAAGGCACAAAAATATGCTAACAATTTATTTGCTGTTGTGGAGTAGCTCTCAACCAAGTTCCTGGAAAGATTAAGATATGCAAATCGACTATGTTAGTATATCAGTTTATATATATATAGGACCGAAGTAAGGTCAGTTAAAAGATAACTCACACGCTCCCTCGATTTTACATATTATTTGATCTCAATTTATTAAAGAATCATATTTATGTATTATTGGTGCGTTAATGTATCTTATTAGTTATGTACGATTTTACATATTATTTGATCTCAATTTATTAGTATAATTTAATTTTTGCCTAATTTAAAAATATTAGAATGAGATTAAGCATAATTTTTGCTATCTTCAATATACGAAAGATATATGATTTTATGAGATATTGTTTTTATTTCTAAATTGTTTTACGATTTTAAATGGTTTGACAAAATTTAAAATTTTCCTGTATTTTTAGTATGGGTCGCTCTACTGGTCTTAATGTGATATATCGGATCGGATCAATCGTATCAGTTTGGAGGTGTTACATTATCGCCAGAGGACTAGAATACATGCACCAAGGTTGTAGCACAAGGATCTTGCACTTTGACATGAAACCTCACAACTTCCTTTTAGACAATAACTTTTGCCCCCAAGATATCGGATTTCGGACTGCTTAAATTATGCGAAAGAAAGAGAGCATGGTTTCGTTGATAGGAGCTAGTGGAACAGCTGGATATATAGCTCCGGAAGTGTTCTGTCGAAACTTTGGAGGAGTTTCTCATAAATCCGACGTCTACAACTATGGAATGATGGTCCTAGAAATGGTGGGAGGAAGGAAAAACATCGATGTCGATGCGTCACAAACCAGTGAAATATATTTTCCTTCGTGGGCTTATAAGCAACTGGATCATGCTATGAATTCGAATCTTGATGATGGAGTAGCAGTTGAAGAAGAGAAAACAAGGAAGTTGAAATTGGTAAGCCTTTGGTGCATTCAATCTGTTCCAGCAGTTGGACCATCAATGACCAAGGTCCTGCAAATGTTGCAGGGGAATACCCAATCATTGAAAATTCCACCTACGCTCTCTCTACATTCTCCAATAACATCTCCCAAAGCCTCTTCCACATCGTAGATTCTTGAGAATTAAGTTTGTAGATGCAACTAACTCACGCTTTGGATGACAGATTAATTTCCTTCTCAAGATGTTAATTTGAATATTAAAATTGTTGATCAAGTTGATTTGCCCCATCATTGTCTCAGACAAGCCACAACAATCGATCTTCTCCCTCTTATACTCATAAGATGTGCATTAATCATCCTAAATATCATAACCATCTTCATTGTTCCTCTCAATTTTACTCGAAAACCGAAAATCTTGAAATTTTATTTATATCTTCTCCGTCATATTTATCATTTAGAATGAAATATTACTTTGATTAGGCTGTCATTTGATTATTTTCTTTTCGTGTCATATGATTAGAGTCAAATATTAGCATCCAGAGAAGCAATACTCAGCTAGCGTAAAATGGAATTTGATTATCACAGCTTGCAGATGTTACATTTGTGGCAAAACCATCTTTGCTTGAACCACACCAACCCTAAATCAAAAAAACTAAAAATTATATATACATATAGAAAATACTCAAAGTTGTATTATTTAATATCACATATGAATTTTGTACTCAAATTATAAAAATTGAAATTCTAACCAACTATATAAAATTACTTGTTTAAACTAATTCATTAAAATAGTAATTTTATTAATTTAAAATTACGATTTTAATGAAAACGCACTTCATTAAAAGATCATTATTATAAATGAAGAGTGAAAAAAATAATGTATTTGTATGATCATCCCAATAATGATTATTATTAGTATAAAGTCAAAGATTGACACAATTTGATGGTCTGCGTCATAGGGATGACAACGGGTCAGGTTCGGTGCGGGTTTTACTCGAGGTTGTCCCGTCTTCGAATCCGAAATGAATCTCATCTCCGACCCCGACCCGATTCCCGTCGGGTTTTTTATCGAGGCGTCTCGTCGGGATTTTTTTTGCCACGTCCTCGAATCCGACCCGAAATATTATACTCAAATTCAAATCCGAACCCGAAAATATTATATATATAATTAATATAAAAATATAAAATATTATATATATATATATATATATATAAATAGGGCGGGGCGGGGATACCTTACCCTGTCCCCGAACCCAACCCAAAAAAATCTCCTATATCCGACTCGACTCAATATCATTCAAACATAACCCGACTCGAACTAGACAGAATTTTCCGTCTAATTTGAGTCATTCTGCCATCCCTACTAGGTCATCAAAGAGATACATCACCAATACTTTAGTAACTAAATAGTGGGCGTTTTGATTATTATTATTACTATTATTATTATTATTATTATTATATATAAAAAAGAAAAGAGAGGCATTATCTATTTACGTTCTGTAAAATAAAAATAAATAAATAAAATAGGGATTATCTTAAAACATATATAACACTGTATTCTGACATGACGACCATACTTTTTCTTTACTCCCCATCAACTCCTTTACAAGTTGGCCAACTTGACAGCGTGCTTAGCTGTTTCCCACCAACAGAAATTCGCCACGCATACCTCCTTGCAACTTGGATACACGTGTCGAAAACCCACATCGGCAACCAACAAGAATGATAAAGAAGACAGAAGAAAAGGCTGCAACTTGGAGCTTTTGGGCCCCACTCTCCGATCTTCCCTTGATTTTTTTCGCAGATTCTCATCAATCAACTATATTATATCAATTCTTTCGCATGTTTCTGTTATTCTTTTATTTTTTTATTATATTATTAGCCTGTTGTGTTTTAAAGTACTATTTTATATACCAATTAAGTAATTTTAGTAATTTAAAAAATATTGTTAATTCTTAGAATTTTTATATTTAAGTATGAATTCTGTAGAAATATTAAACATTTACTATAAAATAATTAAAAGTATTTCAAGCATATTATTTCTTTAATCACTCGTACTAATAAAAAGTATTCTTTCATTTTTATTTTTTGGGTATATGATTCAACTTATTTATTTTTTTCATGTGTTGCTGTCTTTTAAGAACATGGTGAAATGACAATAATGTCCTTACTATTATGCACGACCACACGTACATGCAATTCTGATATGTCTTGCATTTTTATATACATATTTTTCCAAACAAATAAAATACTCACGAGGAAAGACGACGACCCTTAGTAGGTGAAGTAATATTTAATTTAATTTATAGTTTCAAAAATAAAAAATCGAGTTTTTTTAATTGAATTATTTAATTTTTTTAATATATTCAATTTGAATCAAATTAAATTTTATAATTCAAATAAGTTAAATTATATTATTTTATAAGTACCATTTAAATAACTGAAGTTTTTAAGAATACACAAATTGACCCTTATTAATATAATTATAAAATATTATCATTTTTAAAAATAATTATAAAATTTCAAGTATTTATAAAAATTATACCAAATAATATATATATATATATACATAACAATTTTTTTTTTTTCAGTTTCCTACAGGAAGCAAGTTGTTTCATTCTTTAAAGGAAATGACAGAAGCAATTACATATATTGTGCATATAATATATACATATACAGACTATAATATTATATACGATGAACCTGGACCTTAGGCTTTTATTTATCACACAATCATTTTTTTATTAATCTATAGTGCTTACAAGTGATAGTATATGTTCTAAAGACTCTGAATATTTTACAGTCTTTGATATTCGAACTTGAAACCTCTAAAAATAACTATCATTCTTTTAATCATTTGTTCGTACTACAACACAATTAGTTCTAATGTGATAGTATGTATGTATATGTTAATATATAACATATTCATGATATTAGTTAACCAAAATAAATACAACAAAAAATATTAACTCGCTTGAGATTATTTTAAAATATTGGTTAAATATTTAGAAGATTAATTATGTGGTAGCTAAGCTCTTTACAAACATGTAGAAGTAATAATTAATGATTGAACGTATGATAGTGTATGAGTTGGATAGTTCTTTTTCCGCAATTGTTGAAATGCATTTGTTACTTGATAGGTGTAAATGTTAGTTGTTGGAGTGCCAAATCAATACACTTAACAAGTAAGATGGTCAACAACTACCATCCAGCATCCTTGTTATCAATTTCATTGCTCTATTATGTATACTAGTTCCTTTTGCTTAAACTTTATTATAATTATTAAATTAATTAATTTGTTAAAACATATTTCACTGAAGTGGCCTTAGTTTAATAATAAGATTGACATTGTTACGAATTTTAAAATTTTGATTTTATTTTATATAGATATGCAGTTCTCTCTACATTTTTATTTGCTTAAGTCTCATCATTATGTATTTATATTTTTTAAAATAAAACTATTTCTTTTAGTTTTGATAAATATATAACATTTTTTTATAATTGAAAGGAGAGATGAATTTTAAACCCTAATAATATATGCTAAATAATTAACTGATGGGACAATATAGCTGTAATTTAGAAAAAGTAAAATTATCTGTAGATACTCGATTTGTTCGGGGCTAAGTCGGAGCAGACCCGAAGCAATGGCAGGCCTAAAGAAGAACCTAACCCGTTGAAGGCCCAGTTCAAGCCCAATGACCCAATAGTGTTATCATCCAAGCCTCCAGTCCGTGAAGTCCTGGAAAACTGAAAAATTGGTTATCGGGAGTTTAAAAAAATTGTAAATGGGGTGAGGGTCGGTTTAACCACCAGAGATCAGGGGGGAGATCAGATTATCAACCATCACAAAATTACACAGAGGAGGGGGAGAGACGAAAAAAGAAACGATTGGAAACTATCAACGAAGAGGAAGACCAGTTTTTGGGAAAAGACAAGAAAACACGAAAGAGTTGGTTTCTTCAATATTTTTTTACGCAACAGAGCAACAAGATCAAACGGTGTAACAAAAGGATACGACAAGAAACAATAGTGTATTCTACAATTCAAAAACAGTAGAAGCAATACAAGAGGTTTTTTTCCCCTCGTTTCTTTTTATTCATTTTATTGTTATTTTCTGTATTGATTTCTTTCTTTCTATTAATGTTGTTTATAAATAAATTATGAAATGAGAGGCGAAAGAGTGTAGGTTTTAGAGATATTACCTTAGTCATCTAGAGTTCGTCGTCGATAGTAGAATTGTTGAACATTTAGAGAGCTTTAGGGGTTGTTTGGGCCTTCTCAAATCTGTTTTGTGAGATCGAATGAAACCATTTTTCTTTCTTTCCTAAGCCACTGAAGAACCAAAAAGAAGGACCCGGAAATGAAAAAAAACCATGTTTTAGGGATTTTCGAACCAAATACCGAGAAAACATAAATTTTTTTTATCCTTTTGAACCATTGGCAACCAAAAACCGAATACCCATTATTGAAAAGCCAAGTAAATAAAAAATAAAGAACCTTACCTTATCGCTCCAAAAAGGCGTTCATCATTCATTGGACTCTAAATTGGGTTTCTTTTAGGAACGATCGAGAGATGGGAAGCTTTGAGTTGGTTGTTTAAGGGACGATTTGCTTTCCCTTTAGTTCAATGCCATTCGAAGATTCAGGTTGTGTGGCCGAGAGAGATAGAGAGTGGAGAGCGAAGCTGAGTGAGGCTTTGTGCGTGAGATTTGGGTTAGGTTTAGTCTATTTAGTTTTTATATTAAATGTTTAGGCTTAATTTGTTTAAGGTCCCTAAAAGTTCATCATGTATTTACACTTTAATCACTGCAGGGCTGCTTTTGAATTTACTTTCTTGTTGTTTGTCCTGATTTTGATGTTCTCCCAAATTTATGTGGTAGTTATAATATTCTTAGGTAATTTAGGTATAGGTCCCTTATTTATGCATTTTTTTATTTAAGTATTTGTTTTAATTTTTGATTCGTATGCCTAATTTTACGTTTATCTAAATTTAGTCATTACTTTCACATGTATATACATACTTTTTAAAATTTATAGTTTAGCATGTCATGTTTTTGTTTTTATATTTAAGTCACATTTGTACAATATATATTAATATGCATGAGGTGATGGTGGAGAAGAGGCTCGATGATGTGACGGGATAGGTGATGGCTCTCGTTGTAGAGGTGTATA